CCTATATATCCTAAATAATTAAAATGTAAAACAAAAGTTAATTTTTATTTTACTAATAAAGTATAATAGATTATTTCTATATTAGTTTTAGTTATAACTTATAAAGGAACGAGCATAGATGTTTGGTTGGTAAATCCAAGATATATTTACAATATATCAATATAGTAATTTCAATCATTAAAAAAAAAAATTTGTTTGTGAGCCCGCTCGCGACTCGTCTGAGCAAGCTCGCATAACTCGTCAACTCATTTAAGTTCGATCACTTAACTCATTTATTAAATGAGCCTAAAAAACATAGTTCGCGCTCGTCAAAATCCGAGCTGAGCTGAGCCAGCTCATAAGCTAATGACTCGTTTGACACCCCTAGCCTACATTAGGGAGAATCTTTTTTATTTAAGCTTTAACTTTTTCAGGAATATTTACTGTAACATTCGATTTTCCTAATCTGATTATATTCCATTTGGAACCATATTCAAGTTCGTTTAGTTTCTGAAATAGTTTCAGAAAATTAAACAACCTGTTATACACACCGAACAAAAATAGATGTAATTATGTAAATGTGAGATTTATTCAATAGTTTTAACTTGTTCCCATTTTTTTAAGAATAGTACGCAGATGCAATTTCAAATTCTTTTGTTGTCCACAAATGACAATACATAAAATGTTTTATATTTGGATATGTTCTACAGTATTTGGATATGTTCATGTATGGCCAAATGAAAAACTAAGTGAGACAGTTTTATTGGTTTTCCTTTCAGAGTCATTACAAGTATTTACAACGTTATATTATGTATTCTCATTAGGATGGTGATTTTTGTTTTGTTTTGCAGAAGACGGTTCCAAGGGCAAACTAGGGAAGGCTGGTCACTTGGAGGACTGGATCACCACGATCACGTCGTTAACCGCGGGCGAATCAGCTTTCAAGGTCACGTTCGACTACGACAGCGATTTCGGTTACCCTGGCGCATTCTTGATCAGAAACAGCCATTTTAGTGAGTTTTATCTCAAAAGTCTCACGCTTGAAGACGTCCCAGGCCATGGCAGAGTCCATTACCTCTGCAACTCTTGGGTTTACCCTGCTAAAAACTACAGCAAAGACCGAGTCTTCTTCTCCAACAAGGTAATAAAAGTCGCAAGAATGGACCTAAGACAAGAAATAATGTGACTCATGAGGAATGCCTTTTGAGTTAGACTCAATGTTTACTTTTGTTTCAGACTTATCTTCCACATGAAACACCAGCGACGCTGCTCAAGTATAGAGAAGAAGAGCTGGTGAGCCTAAGAGGAACCGGAGAAGGAGAGCTTAAGGAATGGGACAGAGTATATGACTATGCTTACTACAACGATCTAGGTGTCCCACCAAATAACCCACGGCCTGTACTTGGAGGCACTCCTGAGTATCCTTACCCAAGAAGGGGAAGAACCGGGCGAAAACCGACTAAAGAAGATCCTCAAACCGAGAGCAGGTTACCCATCACGTCGAGCCTCGACATATATGTTCCACGGGATGAGAGATTTGGACACTTGAAGATGTCTGATTTCCTTGCTTATGCTCTGAAAGCCATTGCTCAGATCATCCAGCCTGCGCTTGAGGCCGTCTTCGATGACACTCCCAAGGAGTTTGATTCTTTTGAAGATGTTCTTAAGATCTATGAAGAAGGAATTGATCTACCGAACCAGGCTCTGATTGATAGTATCGTTAAGAATATACCACTTGAGATGTTGAAGGAGATATTCAGAACAGATGGCCAGAAATTTCTTAAGTATCCAGTGCCTCAGGTCATCAAAGGTATCCACTTTTTATCCATTCTTTACTTGAATATTCTTTCTTCTTGATTAGTAACAGTACGTAACAACTTGTTCCTCAAATGGATTTTGATTTTCTTCGTTTTCAGAGGACAAAACTGCATGGAGAACTGACGAGGAATTCGCTAGAGAAATGCTGGCTGGGCTAAACCCTGTTGTTATTCAACTTCTTCAGGTGAATTCATGAAATCTTTCCGTAATCGATAGTTTTTTTCTGCTTTCTTACAGGTTGTGGCATTTTAACTTGCAGGAATTTCCTCCAACTAGCAAGCTTGACAGCAAAATATACGGTAACCAAAACAGTACAATCACCAAAAGCCACATAGAACAGAGCTTAGATGGGCTCACTGTGGAAGAGGTAAAAACTATTATCAAATAAAGACACTAATCTGATTTCGAATCAAATTGAAACAAATTGTCTTTTGCTATTTCAGGCTCTGGAGAAGGAAAGGTTGTTCATATTAGACCACCATGACACACTGATGCCGTACTTGGGACGTATAAACACCACCACTACTAAGACTTATGCAACTAGGACACTTCTGTTCCTGAAAGATGATGGGACCTTGAAGCCATTGGTGATAGAGCTGAGCTTGCCTCATCCTGATGGAGACAGATTTGGAGCAGTGAGTGAAGTATATACACCTGGTGAAGGGGTCCACGACTCTCTGTGGCAGTTGGCAAAGGCTTTTGTGGGCGTAAATGACTCTGGAAACCATCAGCTTATCAGCCACTGGTAATGAATATGTAATGGTTATAAGTTGGGGAAAAACTGACCTATCTACATGATCTGAAGTTAGATTTTTGGTTTTTACAGGATGCAGACACATGCATCGATTGAACCATTTGTGATAGRCACGAACAGACAGCTGAGCGTCCTTCACCCGGTTTTTAAGCTCCTTGAACCTCACTACCGTGATACGATGAACATCAATGCACTTGCTAGGCAAATCTTGATCAATGGTGGTGGTATCTTTGAGATCACTGTGTTCCCTTCTAAATATGCCATGGAGATGTCATCTTTCATCTACAAGAACCACTGGACCTTCCCCGACCAAGCGTTACCTGCAGAGCTTAAGAAGAGGTAATGCATATTTACGCAATCTTGGTGGTTAGACTAGAGCTGATGTGAGTTGGTTAGAGAGCAGTTTAACAAGTTTCATTTCTTAATTGGCAGAGGGATGGCTGTTGAGGATCCAGAAGCACCACACGGTTTACGTCTGAGGATAAAAGACTATCCTTACGCTGTGGATGGGCTTGAGGTTTGGTATGCAATTGAATCATGGGTCCAAGACTACATTTCCTTATACTACAAGACGGACGAGGATGTCCAAAATGACACGGAGCTCCAAGCTTGGTGGAAGGAGGCGCGTGAGGAAGGTCACGGAGATAAAAAGTCAGAACCTTGGTGGCCTAAAATGCAAACGCGCGAAGAACTCATGGAGTCTTGCACTATAATAATTTGGGTGGCTTCTGCTCTTCACGCAGCGGTTAACTTCGGACAGTATCCGATCGCGGGTTACCTCCCAAACCGGCCGACCATAAGCCGTCAGTTCATGCCAAAGGAAAACACTCCAGAGTTTGAAGAACTTGAGAAGAATCCGGATAAAGTGTTCTTGAAAACGATCACAGCTCAGCTTCAGACACTTCTTGGAATATCTCTGATTGAGATTCTGTCAACTCATTCAAGCGATGAGGTGTATTTAGGGCAGAGAGATTCTAAAGAATGGGCGGCTGAGAAAGAGGCGTTGGAAGCGTTTGAGAAGTTTGGAGAGAAAGTAAAGGAGATTGAAAAGAAGATTGATGAGAGGAACGAAGATGAGAATCTGAAGAACAGGAATGGTCCAGTTAAGATGCCGTACACTGCTTTGTTTCCGACCAGTGAAGGTGGAGTCACTAACAGAGGAATCCCAAACAGCGTCTCCATCTGAAACTATTCTCTTTGTTAGGTAAAATAATAAAGGATTGGTGTCTGCTTTCTTCTAATTATTGTTTTAAATTGTGCTTGTGTTCATGTGTTGTGTCACAGTCAGTTTGTACGCATGGTAACGATTGATTCTTGTTATTAGCAATAATGCATTTCACCGTCACCGTCGCTGGTTTACGGGGTCCGCTATTACTCGGTGTGCATGTAAACATCAGAATTAAACAGTCTACGGTTATCATTGTGTTTATCCAAAACAGTTTGACTTGTACAACCGGCAAATCATGGATTTAAAAAAATTAGAACAAATTTTGATACACTGTAATGAAACGAAATAGTTTGAACTTTGAAGTACGAATGTAAATGAAACCGGAAATCAGAAACGGTTTCGCTGATGCAGATATGATGTTTTGGTCCTTAATTCAATAAATTGCGCTTGTACTGTGATGGGAAAACGTGAGTACGAATCACATGATAATGGTGGAATTA